CGGTACTTTATTAGAACTGTTCTCTTTTGTGCGATTCCGTTGTTGAAAAATATTATCACAATTACCGGTTATGTAAATGCGTTAGACATAATGGTTCCTGGCTCGAACAATAATCAACCGCGATTCGTCCGCAGTTAGGTAATTAATGTAATTTAAATGTTTATATATTATTGCGAAACGTAGCGCAATTATAAAATGTTGCTAATAATTAACGCGAAATACATGTGGGAGTCATCTCCAAAAGGTCTTTAACGACAGGTAATTAATGATGAAATATTTTGTATTGTAGTTAAAATATAGGCAATATTTTGGACTATGGAAGTCATCTTCAAGGGTTCCTCTAGGTTTTAGTTGGCGCATTTCGAACTAATGAATTAAATCGACGAACAGAATGACCGCCTGTAAATATACAACAGAGGCGAATTTTCAATTACAAGGCGAATCTTATCGGTCCAGAACCTTATTAGACGTCTAATTGATCATTAGCCGCGAACATAAAGGCACTAGAGTGCACCGTTAGCTCTGGCTGCGCTATAGTGACGCCGCGACGTGCTTCTTATTTCCTTACATATAAAAGGCCAGTTAAATCGGCAACAGGAGCACGCTGAAAATTAATGACCCCGCGTTATTAATTATTTTCCTGTCTCATTCGAATCTGAAGGGATTATTGAGAATTGCAATCGCGTCCTTATAAATGTGATTTTTTATATCGGAAATGTTTGTAAGAATACTGGCTCATGTTTTAGATAAAAGTAGGCAGATACTTAGTGTCACAACGGAGAAACTACCGATAAAATAATATTTATTGTTAGCCAATGTAATTGTTTCGCGTGCCTTCGGGCGGTATCCGAGATTTCGCAATGCCACATCCTACAAAGTACCACACTAAATTGAATATATCCTGTTAAAAGCGGTTTACAACGATCTATATAGGTTAACAACGGAGTAGTTTTATTAGTGTTTACTCGTATGGAACGCATATAATTACAATAAAATCGTTGTTAATTTTCAACTGAAACCGAGCTTCGCACTTTTACTCTCACAACATTGGCGAGAAATTTGTACTTTTTACAACAATACCGGCTCCTCTTTCACCTTCACCTAATGCTTCCTGACGCCGATAAATATTTAATAGATGGATTATTCTCCAATAAACCACACTTAAGTGCGGGCGGTTATTAGACACTTAACCTCTGCTAGGATTCCGGCATTAAACCGGTACTCACGATTCCGTATATGTCCAACGGAAAAATAATTATTAAATATAGAAATGCTCACGATTCGAACAATAATACGTGTAGGATTCGACACGTACTCGGGAATATCACTTGCCCGTGTGCGTGTGGCTATCGTTAATTATTATTTCGGTCGAGATTAATAGTAAAAATTTCGGAGGTGTTGACTTGTTTATGCCGGTTCCAGCTAGGATTTATGCGATAAGCGGTAATGAACCCGACCTGTGCATGTGGTAACAAGATTTACTGCTCATTATGATTTTTGAATTTTTTAACAGGTATAACGTTTTATTCGTTTGACGATTATGAACTTGGAAAATAATTGTTGAAACGCTACATAAATTAGGTATGTTAATTCATCGAATTTCCAAAAAATGTATTCAAAACTGAAGTCATCCATCCTTGAAGTATTGTGGGGGTTCTCGATGCATTGAAACAAATTAGGCGAATGTTGTGAAATTACGGCTTGATCCGCATTATTAGAATGATAGATTATCGCTGGTTGTGTTTTCATTTATTCGCGCATTCCGGGCATAATGGGTGATCCGTCTTCTTAACGACATCGCCCTGTTGCCGTAAAACTTTCCCAACTCGACTCCCTTTTCTTTTGTTGCCTTGACGGTTCGCGTTTAATTACCCCTTAAATTCATAATTTCGGGTTTTTTTTTGTGTTAAAAATACTGCAAAGTGTACAGTTGATTGTTAAGCAAAAATTTATTTAGTGAAGAATATAACAGTAAACCAGCTAATGCTGTTTACATATTATTTTCTACACAGGGACTCATTGTATAAAATTCAATAATTAATAATTTTTATACTCTACACCAATACACCACATTACCTTAATAAACGATTCTTTATATCCTCTTACACATCATACTCAATATTAAAAACTGTAAGTAATAAAGCATAGAAATATGTAAGTTGGAGAGTCCGATCCTGTTTCGGCTTCTCTCAATTTATTTCGGCGTACTTTAGAATTTACAGGGGCAACACTCACACCAATCATTAGGCGCGTAATATTTTCCAGTTTTTTACAGTTCGTGGAAAATGTAAAATGATCGAGACTAAGGATTCTTTTTTAAAATAACTAGGAAGAAGTAATGGGCCTTAAACAAGTCGTAAATATCGGTTTATTTCGGGGTTCGATTATATCGAGAAATTTTCGAGCTTCGACAGTTAATATGGAATTTATTGTGACGGCGAAACAAATTGGGCATCGCTTGTATTCCGAGCTTTATTTTAATCTCTCGAAAGCTGAGTAGTAAGTAGTTTTAGTAAATAATGCGGTTTATTTTTGCTGCAATTCGAAATGGATGGAACTTCTGAATATTTCAGGGTTTCGCCAGGGATTTGCAATTTAAGGTATATTTGTGTTACTATTTCAATTAATTAAAGCTTCGTATTTAAGCTTTTTGATACTAATGTTCCTGCGAGTTGTTGTGTACTTGGTCATACAGTTCTGGAATTACTACCAAAAAAATTAGAACTGTTCAGAACCTTTAAGAATCATTTCAGAACTGTCGAAGACCATTTGAAACTATTCAGAATGAGCTTTAGAGCAGATTAAGGTCCATAATCGATTAATTTTTACAACTAATTTACTTGTACAATCTTGTAATGTAAATGTCTTCTTAATTTCCATGACCCATACGACTGACCCCGGTTAAGTTAAGTACTGTATATTCAAGCAAAAATTTAGATTTTTTTCCATCACTAATAACCAAAAAAGCTCCGGCCCGTAACACGTGAAGTAAACGAATATCTGTCGATGAATCCCGGCCCGGTGTTTCCAAATGGCTTTCGCATAAATCACTTTGACAGACAGCCCTATCTCGCCATCTCGCCGCTTCCTCATCCAGCCCGATAGCGATTCTTGCTCTATCTGTGCCCTTTTTACATAAATAATCTCTGAATTATTCATTGTACCACACTATCACGTCCGCAGAGCGGTCCGATCGAGCTTCATCGGGCTTTATCGAGCTTTATAGTAGCCGCGTTGTAGTGGAGAAATGAAGTAGTCGAGCTTTTAGGAAATATTTTTGGAACGTTTCTAAACGAATTTTTACCCTCTCCGGTATCGCCGCAGGAACAATGTCTGCGCTGCTAAATTATTCCGTTTGATTGTTCCTGCAGGATGAGGGTTATCGCCCGTCTAGATTAATATCGAATTCGATAGGACAAATCGTCCCGAAGGTAAACTGTAATTCTATTCATTACTCCAGCGCTCGGCAAGGACGAACAAATTCGATTCCGATTGCCAATTTACTACAGAGATACCCCGAAAAATTATTAATATAATCTCCGCATTATTAACTCAATTCCCGGCGATTATCCGTGTGTATAAAGCTCTCGCCAAGTTTTGTATTTCCCTTTTATATTTCGAGCTTTTAACCAACTTTTCAGGGACTGATAAAGCGTGAGTATAACACAAGTTCGTTAATGAATAACCTGAACAAATGCGAAAGTTCCTGAAAACGCTGAAAGGCGAGATAAAGGAATAAAGGCTTCAGTACGGAAAATATAGTACAGGTCACATAATAACGGTGGAAATCCATGGGGTCGATTGGGGCAAATATCATTCGTAAAATCTATAACTTAAAAATTTTTTACAAGTTAGTAGATATATTTAGACCATTTAAATTCCATTGTCCTTAAAGCACTTTAAATAATTCTGGATTTTTCTAGCTTATACTGGATCGTAAATAGTCCTGAATTTGTTCTAAATGATTTTGGACTGTTCTGAACGATTCTAAACATCATACTGAACTGTTTCAAATGATCTAGTCAGTTCTAAAGTCATAAGAACTCTGGAAATTTTTAATTTATCCTGGAACAATTCTATATAACAGTTCCCAAACTTGCCCGCTATTACAATGATCATTATCATATTTTTCTCTCACTTCTGTTACCCCTAAATCTACCTCGAGCCGGACCGACCCTGTGTAAGCACGAAATAGAAAAATAGATAAAAAAATTGTGCCCCACTCGGCCCCTCCGATGGCATAATAGCGCTGTTTTCTGATGGATAGATTTAGCGCTCGATTCATACAGAGGCGACGGCGCTTTGAAAATTACCGAAGTAGCAAGATAAAGAGCCGGGCCGGGTCGCATAATACGCGGAAAACTAAAGCACACTGGAAATTATTGTGCATTCACCGGGCTGACGCACTGCATGGCACTGATAGGATTTTCGCTCTTTTATTCGAACCGTAATGACGAAATCACGTTCTCGAAATCCGTTTAAGGAACTTTCCTGGTCGCGTTTCAAGCGGGAATTTTGTAAATTTTAACAAACATACGCCAATAATAGCGTGGTTTATTCGAAATTGTATCTGGCATAAATTCTAACGAAATAATTAGCTTTCTGATGGTCTGATTAATTATTAGAAAATTGGAATTTCTCTGCTGTATCGCTTCGAATTCTTGCGTCTTCATTCTATCGATAGTAGGAAATAAATGGACACTCGATATCTGTTCCATGAAAATCGTGGGAAGGTACTTATCTAATGTTTACAAAATATTCGAGAATAAATAACGTTCTACAAGATGGTATTTGTTAACTGTTTTATATTGAGTAGGTGCCAGATGAATTGTCAATACTAGGTGTTTAAAAAAATAGGTATTTTCTTGATAATTAATTCAGTATAGATTAATAACATCTTTACTGTTTATCTAAAACCTACATGCATTTAACGGTAATGAAAATGTAATTTTCATTAAATTTTATAGCCCATTGAAAAAAATATCTCACTTCAATGAAACTTTATTCGAATTTCGTCGTTTTTAAAGAAAATGTCCCACAGCTCCAAATTATTAGCGGGTATTTTGTGCGTCTTGTTAGTAAGTAAATATTTTCACCAACACAATCGTAATTTTTATTCGCTAATTTGTTCTAGATAAATGTGCCAGCTAGAGGGCGTAGACTTTCGAGAGCCGAGAAAAAGTGCCTGAAAAAATTCCCGGTTCTAGCCTACGACCCCTATCAAGAACTGTGCTACCAAAAATGCCTCTGGCGCCATCAAGGTTTGATAAAACATAATCAATTGACCGCAAATTCACTGAAATTCGTCAGTGAATTCAACGAATTGTTCGGCAAGGAGAAAACCGCCAAATTCCAGAAATGCCTGGCCAAAAGTTTGACCCGATTGACAATCAAAGATTGTTTCGATATGATGAAAATCAAATCGTGCTTTTTGGAAGCCCATAAAAGCACATCCTCGCCCAGATTCATCATTCTCGGTTCACTTTATGTCATAAATTCCTTAGTTGGTTCCGTTGTACAGCCCTTGCAAGAGGGAATTGTTAGCTGGCTCTATGGATTGGAACCAAAATCATGAACATTTTTATACCAAATTTATCGATTCAATCATTTATTAATTACTTAATACATGTACAATATTAAATAAAAAATCTAGTCCTACCTAAAGTTATAATTATTTTTTTTATACATGGAAGCGCGGAAATTTTACTACACCTTAAAAATATAATCTAAATAAACCCAACCGGCCTACAAATATCAAATAAAAGAAATATTTTCCATCCTCATTTACTTACATTCGTTCCGTCGATAAATTCATTATTGATTCCGTTTTTTATTGCCCTTTTAATTTCCGCTTAATCGAAATATTTAAACGTTATTATTCATTTTAACTGCAGCGTGGAAGTTTTGCGAAATAATCCAGCGATATTTCATTTTTAATCCAAGTAATGAAAAAATGAAGGAATACTTGGCGATTTACCTCATCTTGTTTATTGTAAGTTTTAGAAACCATCAACAAATTAATAAATTCCAGAATTACACGTGAAATTTCTTCAGGTAATTGAGACAAGATGCGAACGGGACGAATACGAGAAAATGCAGAACTGCCTGGTCAAATCGCTAAACAAGCACAAATCTGTGATGGAAGTGTACCTGTGCAAGAAAAAGTGTATCTGGGAGAACCTGGGAATAGTAACAGAAACCGGGACTATCAACACTCACGCTTTCGGCAACTATTTCGGCATCAAGCGGGGCGTAAATTTAGTAGAATTTCGCTTGTGTTTGAAGACCATCCTGCCTGAGCACTCGCTGAAGAATTGCAAAGACGTAACGAAAGTGAAGATATGTCACAATATGGTGAAAGAATTATCCAAATCACCGGCAGCTTCGCTAAGAGCCACGCCGCTATATCAACCGGCCAAAATGAGATTTTTAGTTTACACCGCCACCAAAATATTAGACCACACTTTGAATCCTCTTGTAGAAGGTATCGGAAATACGGTGAAATATTTACTACCGAGACCGGCGAGAAAAGGCGTTAAAATAGTGTCTGACGGTTGGTTCGCTTTCAACGACGCCATCAGAAATACAGTATCATCAGCAACTAAATCGATTCTGGGTCTAGTGGATTCCACAGGAAACGCTGTAGTGCACGGCGTAGAATCAATAGGAGACACCACGCTAGATTACACCGTAAGACCGGTAGTAAACACAGTCAGAGAAAGCGTTAAAGAAACCATAAAGGGCGAAGCTAAAGAGATCATAGAATCTGCTCCGACGATGATAGCCGATATCCTCACCGAGCTAGGCCTGGGCGATTTCATCGGCCCCGACATATTCAAAAGGCTACCCGAATTGGCCCTAAAAATATTACCGAAACTTTGGACAATGTTCAAGGTGAGCAAAGGCGTCATAGGCTTCGTGTACAATTTGGTAACTCACGTGTTGAACGACGTCAATCAGAAGAACAAGGAGCTCAAAACGCCTGAAGATTTGACCGCCCAGTTGGTGCCGCAGGTGGTCAACAGCCTTAACGAAACCGCCACTAACATGGTCAAAGACTTAGGCAGCATCATAGCTGATACTCTACCGGCAGTCGGCGGTAAGCTGATCGAAGAAACGATCGATCGCATCGTGGATGCGATGCACTCAGCAGGACCGACGCTTGTCAACGTAGTCACGAATATCATGAACAAATTCATCGAGGAGTTTTCGAAATCGCTCGCGCAGTCGCTGCCCTATATCTTGGAGGCGATTCAAAAACTCGTCCAGAATAATAGCGAAAAGACTGTTAAAATCATTAAACAGGTAACTTTAGCTCATCTTAATTAGCTTAGAATGTTGCGCCTACTAAATGTTAGTTTATTGTTCAAATTATCATGAGTGTATTTGGATTAATCAGGGATTGGAAGTAAAAATAGAACCATGATATTGTAAACCTGGATCATTAGAGTGTTGCAAATTAGAAAATAATGCAAGAATTTGAAATGCACTGTAGATAAAATTACACATTTTGGAAACATATCAACAAATGCTTTGCGATTTAAACGAGGCGGTTTGTTTATATGTTCAATTCAATAGTGCCTTGATAAAATATATTGAATCATAAAGACAAATATGAACTAGTAATAAAAGTTAAAAGTCGTATTAAGTCCTGTTTTCCTTTTCAGAAAAGGCCAAAAGAAGAAATCGACTTGGGAGATATCGAGCAATACATTAATAAATTACATTTGGAAGAATAATAGTTTAAATAAAGCGTCGAATTTCCGCAATTTATTTTTTTTAAAACCCTTATCTATCCTATCTTTAAACCTACAGTGTAAGTTAGTAATCAGCAATACATATTCTTGAATCAAAAAACCAGCTACAACAAATCTAGGTTTGTACAACAAAATCCTGCTATTGGCACCGAAACGAGTCAATCGGTCCCATTGTAAAACTCCGTGTGGATTTTCCCGTTTTTCGTTCGACGTATAATAAATACATTTTCCATATAGAAAGGGCACCGGAGCAGAATATCCCGCGGCATCGGGGCGAAGGCCTATCACATCCCAAAAATCACATCGACGTCTCGCACAAAGGTGTCCTTTTATGCCATGTATGTCATTATATCCGTCGGCGTATCCCTTTTGTGAGTTCCTTTTGTGCTCCGGCCCGAGAAGTTCGCCCTTGCATGTCAATGAGCCGCGTTCGGTCCGACTCCTGGGCGCACGAACTTCGGGCGCAAATCCTTTACACTTATGCATTATCCTTCCGTTTTATTTCATAATATATCCTATGTTTCCCAAATAATGTCATAATTGTTTCAGTTACTACCAAAAACTTACTGCAATTGTAGAAGAATTAAGTAGTAAGAAGAGTAAAAATTGTTGAAGAATACTCAGGAATTAGAGAATACAACCAAATGAAACTTTAATAAGAAAATGAGTAATTAATTGTATTGTGTGAGTAGAAGTGAATTTTTTATGATACTTTTCTTGGGGTTTTCCGGCTTGAGTGCAGTTGTCGCCCGCTGGAGATTTTAATGTTTTTATAATCAGGAGAGTCAGGTCGTTAATGTCGTACTTTTCGGGAAAATCCGAAAGGGGGTCCGTTAAAGAGTTTTTCCTTTTTTATGCAAATAAACGCGGCTTCGGTTTTGATAATGTCTTGATGGAAAAGTATTTGTGAAACCTCGGGTGCGGTCGGTCCGCCTTTCCAGCAGCCGGTCCGTTGGAAATGCTAATAAAACGAGTTTATAATACACTTTTGATAACTTTAAATATATAACTTTTACATAAACATGCCGGTGTTCTATTTTCGCTAAAATTCTTTAGTTAATCGAGCGCTCGATAGAAAAATCTGTAATGTACTTTAGACTAATGAAATACAAGTCGAAATAATCAGAAGTAATAAAACTTTCAACCGTCGAATTTAAATTTAAAACCGTAAATCGCGCGAAATAATTAGCGCTTTGAAATGCTGGGCATTAGCCAATTATAGGTGATGATAAACCGAAACCAATCTGTCGGAAAATTTTAAGTAGAAAATCCTATTATTATCGAAAAGAATCGATGTTGATTATTTTCGTTTTATTGCCGTCCAATTAATGCTGCTAATGGACAACCCGCCGCAGGAACGTCTTCGGGCATACGAGAAATTTAAAATAGAATTTTATTATCTCTAAACCAAAAGTATCGGCCGATCGGGCGATAAATAGCCGACCATCGAAATATTTCCGTAGGCATTTTCTCGTTACATTCAAACTTAATCTTCTACATAAAACTCTTGAAGTTGTTATCCCGTTTCGAAATCCGCTCGAAAAGTGTATTTTTCTCGAAGAGTTTACGAGTATGTGGAAGTAAAGTTGTTGGTATTTTCCTCCACCCTTCATATACTTGTTCATCCCCTTGCAGGGGTGTACTTCGAATAATCAAATATTTTATTTTAATACTCTTTTAAAAAATATAACTCATCAACAATTCGTTCAAATGCGAGCTTAGTAGTAATTAATTTATGAGGATAAATACAGTATATGACCTCTTGAACTAAAAATAATGAAGCAAACAAAGCCGGTCCTTGTAATTTCTACCGAGAATATCATCCATTAAGCAAGTTTTATGATCTGTCCGAATGAGAGAAGACATTACAAAGTTACTCAATCTATACTTTAGTACTTTCATACAAAACTAAAGGAAGTTTATTAAGCTTTTTATGGGACACTCCAGCTCCACATACGCTTTGTTAATCCCCACACATTTAGCAGTTTTGTTACATTTACCGCATCAACTACTAATAATTTCATAAAACATAATCAAGTGCAAGAGTTAATAAACAATTAAAAATCCCGTAATTAATTAATCCCCCATCAAAAGTCTCTAAAACAAAGCGAATAATGCTAATCCAGTCGGTCGGGCTAATAAATCCGCTCTGAGTGAGCCATTACTATGAATTATTCAAAACAATTACGCGATAAGAGACAAATTATACAGAAAAGACTTGAATTACGCGGCGTTCGTGACGGCAACGTGCTTTACCGGTTAAAGAAGTTAAAGCTCTTCGTGATGCGCGCATTCCGCTCGCCCACGTGGATTTCGAAACCGAAAGAACACCGATATATCTAAAGGCATTATAGCAAATACTCGATTAAATGGAATCGGGAAAATTTATTCAATAAATCGAGTACTTTGAGTCTATTTGTTATTGCGTTTTTGGCTATTCTTCCCGGTCTGTAGGTGACTAAAAATTTGTATTGATGGATGTAATGTTGCAATATAATAGGATGGGGGTAAATTTCGAGCTTCTATTAACGAGGTTTTTAGCTATACTTGATGTCTTTCTGTAGGTGACAAAATTATATTGATCATATATACGATAATGTTTTGGTCATCTATAGACCGACAAGAGTAATTAAAACCATCGATAATACCTAAAAGATCGATATAATACAATCTTCATAAGCTGCTGCAAAATTTTGCTTTAATAACCCACCAATGTAATTTTTTTGTCACCTACAGACCGATAACAATAGCTAAACCCACCGATAGTAAAAGCTCGATAATTGCACACTTCCTATTCTACTTCCAAAGTTGATGTGTAATATAGGAGGTTAATAAAGGAAGAGTGCAAATGCGGAGCTTTTACGAGTCGATATTCCGGTGGATATCGCGAAATACAATAATAATTTCCATTCCGGCTAGCCGGGATTAATCTCTCCGGCGGCGGGCTGACGGTATAATCCGAAACCTAATAACCGGAGTAATAATGTGTACTTATCGGCGCTTTGAGTAGGTGTCGCCCGGATGCAATAGCGCGTTTGTACGGTTACAAAAGCTTTAGTCTAGCCGGATTACGGTGCTCCGGCTGTATGTGTGTGTGTGTATGCTTATCCCTCTTCCGATGCCATTGATGGCCCGCAATTATGCCGGAACGTAATATCGGTAATCCGTCCTTCTGTTCGCACTTCGACACCTCTCGCTCTCGTCCTCAATGCGAACAGATCTTAATATAATATCGACGAGAGGCGGTCGGAGAAAATTGCATTCTTAATGCTCGATGCCCTTCATTAAAACCTGCAGTAGAAATATAGAAGTTTAAAGACCTCTAATATTGTATAGAAATGTAGATTATATAGAGGTCCAATATTTAATGAACGCGTTTAATCCAAATTGTAACATCCAACCGCATAAGCAGCAGCACATGGAATAAACACCCGACATCAAAGTAAATATTTGTAATCCGAGAGATTTTTTATGACTAATGGTTACTGAGGCTTTGTGGCGCTCACAATACGGGAAACATAATTCATAACGCTTTTAATAACTCCACTGTTTGGATTTTTGGTTCGCTTTAAGCCGGCCATTTTGCGGCTGTTCACTTTCATTCGCTTTATTATATCAAAGGCTTTCCGGACTGACGTCTCAATAAACTCGCTCATAAATAATGCGCTATACGAATAAGCGAGAGCGCGATTGTAATTGTTTTTATTATCTTTAATAAAATTGGCCGCGTCGGAAAAGCGCCGATTTTCCGACCTATCGCTTTCTCTCCAACGCATAAACATATCGAAACGAGTTATTGTTATCCGAGTTGAAATCTATCCTACGCATTGTTTCTTTGTAGTTTTATGTCGGTAATAAATTAATAACTAATTTCTTAACGGTGACCGTACCGACCCAGTTGTTTGATGCTCGAAGGGACGTCGTAATGACTTTTACAATATAATACAGGGTCATTCTCAATACCTAAATGAGACTCATTAAGTATTAATTTATTAAAGTGTGTATAGTAGATGGTTAAAGAAGGAAGATTTAGTGGAAAAATTATGAAAAAACTAAGTATAGAATTATTAGTAACAAGTATTTTGAATCAAGATTTATATAAAAAAATAATTATAGATTCACTCTGTATATTATTTTAATAGCTAGTGTGTTCTAAGCACCTTTACGAATGGATTTTTAATTTAAATAATTAAAAAGCGATAAACAACAGATGAACACAATGGTTAGATATTTTGCAACGATTTCCAAACATAATAACTATTTCTTATAACTATATAGAAGATTACGGTTTTTAAAACATTAATATCTCTCACGCAAAAATCCGATGTTGTAAATTGTTCATTCTCAATTATTCTCGACTTGAATTTGAAAAGGTACAGAATATAAACTAATTTTTCCAATACAAATTTACCGGCGTCCCCTCGTCAAGGTCTGAAATTAGATTCAGCTGTCTTTTCAGTGTTATTTTTTATTCCATTTCTTCAATAAGGATGTCTTGTGTTTTAAGTTCAACCCTTCGACAGAAAGCCTGCCACTTAGGGTGCCGGTCTCATCAACAAAATACAGCGCACATGCGAAACGAAAAAACAACTAATAAATCTGCAATACGACACTGAACCCTTTTTCCTGCGACGTCGAAAGGGCCCTGCCTAATTCGCGGCTATTTTTAGATTGTTTGGAAACGCGTTCAGTTAACTTAAAAAGTCGTAATTTCGATATTTATCGGTAGTAAAAAGACATTTTTTCCGGAAAATGTTTATCGCTTGTCGAGTTAGTTTTCATTTCAATTACTCGCCTCGGTAATTGCGCCGTGAATTACGGCCCGTCGTTCGGGATTTATCGTGAATTTAGAATTTTAAGAAACCGATCCTTCATTACAACAGCTCCTAAAAATATTTAATATACGGTAGGTAATTGAAGGTTTTTCGGGAAACGCCTCGAGTTTTTTTTTAACTATATAAAAGCATCGGGGTGACGCCCGC